GTTCCAATCCGGGAATCCTCACTCGCGTTCTTGGACTTTCGTCACTTGTTGGAAGGCCATTCTAGTGACAACGTTTTTTTGGGCACTCGATCGGAAGTGAGCAAAAATCCCATCACGGTCTTTCGGAGGAAAAGAATCCCAGCTGGACCCCTCGTTTTGGAGTGGAATCAGAAAGGCGACACGGCCCCAATTTCAGTGCCTGCCCTTCAAGCCTGGAATTGGGGAGGTTGACTTTTGACTTCCATGCATTCCGTCGTGTTCTTTTGACCAGACAGAATCGGAGTTGGGGGACCCACCGGGTTCCTTAAAAGAGTCCCGCTTTGGGAGCCCATGAGGTGGCCACCATCGTACCATGATCTCCCTCGTCTCGGGCCACAAGCGCTAGGCCGGCCGAAAGACTCTCAAACCCTGGCTGGCTTCCCTAAAAATCCTGTGTCTCAAATACAGATTTGTGGCTTGTCCTATTGTTAGGTAGGCCCATGTTGTAAGTTGGTTCCTTCTTGTCGCTGAAACACCTTTCAAAGATGGGCTTTGGGATAGATTTGACAAGCGACAAGAAAGGCTTTGAGCATACGCAATGCACCTGAACTAGACCAACGCGAGTCGAGCTTCCGTTCAAACCCCGGACCGCGAAACTTCATCACTGCGGTTCTGACCTGGCACCTGATTCGGTAGAAAAGAGAGAGCCCTTTCAAGTGAAATGCCTACAGGAACCCAGTGGTTCACAGCCATCCCCATTCGCGTCTTAGGGTTTGTGGAGGGGGGCTTCCATGAAACCGCCTACAAGTTATTCACTTAGGGTGATCTGAAAATGGACAGCCCAGTTGTGAAATGTCCTGCTGTGGAAACAAGATTGGTTCAGGGACGCCGTTGCCGTTCGGGTAAGAGCACCTTTGACACTGGGAAATACTTTGCAGACCTTTGCCAATGTTCAGCCTCAGAAACGTGCAAGAAACTGTCACTTTGCCCCAGATTGGGGCCCAAAGTCCCAGAAATGCCTTTCTTTCACTTCAACAATCACTGTCCAGCTTAGTCGCCGACTTGCAGGCCAGTTGGGTCAAGATCAGAACGCGATCTGAGTGCAGCGGGTGAGGCTGTAGGATGGGCCTGGTCTCAATACCTGCGAAGGCCGCATCCCACTTACAGGGGTGGATGTGATTCGAGCATCGCCCAAAACCGATTCCCAGTGGCGCTTCGAGTCAGTTCTGCCTACTTTCACTGCAGTACAGTCCATAGAAACCGGTAGCCAAACCGACCAGGTGAAACGGGCGCTGCTCATTTCCCCTTGAGCAAAGAACTCTTTGGATGCTCCTGGACTTCCGAGGACTTCCCCACCCCAGGTGGCTCCCAAACGAATGCGCGATGCACGTGGCCCAGGTTGGTTCCCTTGGGCCCTCCCGCAAAGGTGTCCAGTTTGAAGGGAAGTGCGCTCAATGGGTTTGGTTTGAAAGTCTCGTTTCGGCCAACTCATTTCGGGGGAAGATCAGGGCAGAAGTCCCTGAAGTTTGTGACACATCTGCCTGAATTCGCGCATCGGTCATAGGTCAACAGGGCTTGGAACCAGGGCGCGCGCGGGAAGCGACGAAAACCACTGGTGTGCCTTGCCTGGGGTCTCCTTAAATCACTTTGCAAGTTGGTGGCGCTGGGTTCAGTTTGGTTCTTTTGAAAAGTGCGCCTAGGCTCCGCGAGGGGTGCAGCTTAGGAGGGTGATTCCAACTATGCGTGGCCGTGATTTCCCCTAGCGATCTGGATCCCCTCGAAATGGGGCACCTCCCTTCTCAACCTGAAAGTAATCCTGGGATTTTCACAAATACTGGTGGGCAGGTTGTCAACGCTCGATCAATTGCTTTTGAAAGGCTTGCAAGAACTTCGGGAAATGAAAGTTTGCCGCACATTCTAGGCAGGAAGAACGCCCGCATTGAGTGCAACCCTTTTTCAGAAAGCGCAGACGTCTCCTGACTCTGGCTGTCATTAACTCTTCATGGAAACCACTTTATGAAGCTCACTCATCGCTGTGCCAAAAGGAAGCCACGGCAACCGCCCAAGCAACTCACTAGAGCCAGTTTTCCCTCCCTGGGATCTCCCCTGAAAGCGTACAAGATAGGGCAAGCTACATATGGGGGTGTCAAACCTTTGCTGTGGTTTTAAAGGGAAACCAAAAGGAAACCCGTTGCGCCATTTTGGGGGGGTCCGATTCCTAAAGAAAGATGAGCCACCCATATAAAATCATTGTTGTTGCACCCTGGAGTTGAGCCAATGCAACAGTCCAACTTGTTGGCGGGCAATGACCGTAGCCCGCACTTGGGGAAGCTTGACCATAGCTCACGGGTGTCGTGGTGGTTGTTGTGTGTGCGTTTGTGTGTCTATGGTGGGTGTGTTTGCTCGCTTGCTTGCTTACGTGCTTGCATGCGTGCTTTGCTAGCTTGCTTGCTTCTTTGTTCTGCTTTGTTGCTTTGTTTGTTTGTTTGATGCCCCTGTGGAGCTGGCTTCCCATCTGGCCGAGGCCAGCTTACAGACATTGCCCAAGGAGGAACAGGACCTGCGCACTATAGCTGTTTGGGAGACTTTGCGTTGCTTGGCGAGCAAGTGCCTTTGTGCAGCTGTGCGGCAAGCTGCCAAGGCCAAACTCTCGTTAATCCTGTGGACGCGTCCGGTCCGGAGTAAACAAGAAATGGAGAGTGAAACAAAGAGTGGGAGCGAGGTGTGGAAGAGGTAAAAAGAAGAATTAAAAACATAATCAACAACAAAGTGATGCGAGGGAGATGTAGGGATGAGTCTAGACCTTACACACGGCCTCACTCCACCTTCCTGCCTTGGATTCTTCATTCTTCTACCTGTATTCTCATGTCCTAGCTCTAGAAGTGTTGCGCAGAGGCTGCCACGCACACCATCTGCCAATGGGCCCGCAGCAATGCCGCTCAAGCTGGAGCTCGCCAGCGTGCTACGAGCGCGACTGCTGTTGTGAGAGACCCCCTCACTTCGGAGGCAGGCGTCCAGCAAGCAGATCCGCTAGGGCCCCCTCCTTTTCGCCCGGCCCTGCCAGGCTGCCGGCTGCGCGCGCCAAGGTTTCTCAGCAACATCTGCTCTTGAAGGTAGTGGAGCTGTGGCACCGGCGCCTGTTGAATGCGTTTGGAAGCCGCAATATGAGCTTGGCCCAGCTTCTCCCTGCCACGTCTGCACCAAGAAGGGGCTGGCGGAAGTGAAGCTCGCTTGCCCAAAGATTGTTTCGTTTTCAACTGTTTGGTCTACATTTTGTCAAGGCATTGAAAGGTCGAGCCAAGACCTGATTTCCAAGTTGTTTGCGCAGTCAGGAAGGTTTGCCAGATCTTCCCCCTCCAGGGGTCTCTTCCCAGCGCGTTAGAGTTGCCGAGCTGCCACGAGCTACTGACTGAGTTCTTTCGGGATGCCCAAGAAGGGCTCAGCCGTGTGAATTTGGCAAGGACGCTGCCATTGGTGTCAGGCTGATCCAAGGGCTCTCCACGCGAGCCCCTCCTACACAGGGCCCCAGCTTGCAAAAGATCCTCAGATCCATTCAGGGGAACCTCTACTACAAGATGTTCAAGGGGGGTGACAAATACACAGAGCTCCTCAAAGCGGGGACAGCAAAGGGCACGGTGACCCGGGCTGCCGCGGCTGGGGCCGCCGGCGGTAGATCCTTAGGTTTGGGCCGCTGGTGGCCAATTTCAGGTCGACGATCATTTATAACGGTGACTCCGCGCGAAGAATTGCCGCGCAAATTGTTCTCAGCTAAAAGGCCGAGGCGGCGGCAGCTGACAGAGAAGGCGCAGAAGAAGGCCCGAAAGAAGGCTGCGAAGGAGGCGGCGCTAGTGGCCGAGGCCGACCGCAAGCGGGCCCGCAAGCAAAGGAAAAACAAGAAGCGGGCCGCGGCCCGTAAGGCCGCCCGAGCAACTGCCCGTGCTTGCTGGCTTCTACCTTCCTTTGTTTTGTTTTGTTTGCCTGCACACGTGCATGCTTGCAAAGGGCGCTTGCTCAGGCGTGTTGTTGTGTTGTTGTGTTTTCGTGGTTGCTTGCTTGTTTTCTTGCTTGCTTGCTTCCTTTCTTCCTTCCTCACTTCCTGACTTCCTTCCTTCTTTGTTTTGTTTTGTTTGCTTGCTCGCGCGTGTTGCTTACTTGCCTACTTGCGATTTTTGGTGTTGCTTTGTTTGCTTGCGTGCTTGCTTGCTTCCTTGTTTTGCTTTGTTTGTTTGGTGGTTTGTTTGCGTGTTTTTGTGTTTGTGTTTTTGTGTTTCTGTCTTTGTGTGTCTTTGTTTGCTTTTGTGTGTGTTGTCTTTGTGTGTGGGGCATGTTTTTTCAATCAACAACCAAGCGGTCAAGAGGAGGGTTCGAGAATTGGTCAGGGGGTTGGCCCAACAGGGTTGCCTCTCCAAGCCGTGTTTCTGGGAAGATGAAATTGCAATTTCAACGGGGGTCGTGACTCGAAATGCCCCCTTGAAGTCTTTGTTCAGGCTGCTTTTCGTATTGGTAGAGAAGTTTTTGGGCGGTTGCAGAAAAAACATTTTGGAGAATAATTTGTTTGCGTCCGTTGCGTTGACTTGAGGTTGGTTCCGAGAGAAATAGCAAAGCCGTCTATGTTGTCCAAAGGACTCCCGGGGAAGAGTTGGCATTGCTCATCTTGGCAAAGCCCATTTGTGGGAAGCTAGGTTGCCTTCCAGACTTTTTAGGGGTTCCCTATTTGCAGCCACGTTTGAGAAGCAAATCAAACCTCCTGGCGGATTGGGTCATTGTCTCACAAAAAGGAGGGTTGTGCAAAATGTTTAAACAGCCCTCGTGATATCAGAATGGGTCTCACCCCCAAGACTATTTTGTCACTTAGGAGACTTGAGGCTGATATCACGCAAAATGACCATGTCCAACAACCCTTTCCGTAGGGATTCTCAACGTGCCTTCATTTGGGTTTCCTCGACACAGGGGTCTCCTAAAAGTGGTTCTTCTTTTGAACATCAAAAAGGGGTCTTCCATTCTAGGGCACGGCGTGCGAGGTGCTGGTGGAGTTCGGAGCCTATGTGGGCTACAGCGCCGTGCGCCTAAGCAGGCGAATCCGCAACTGTTGGCTTGGGCTGAGTTCCCAAGGCAATTTTTTTCACACCCAAAGGGAAAAAATCGAGGGGAAATATAGGGAACCCTGGCGTTGCTTTCTGGGCACCGGGACGCCACACGAACTCGCAGAACTGACTGCACTGTGATCTCTCTTACGAAGATGGTTTACAGAAGGTTCACTAAAATATAGACCAAAACAAATGTATGACCTGAAAGCTGGGTTGTTTTTGTCAACACCTATGCCCCAGCTGTGCAGTGCAGGCCTTCCCTTTTCATTGGGCTTCCACTCAAGTATTGGTTTGGATTATACTTCTACCGGGGCTCACTAGGCAACTTGGTTTGAAAGTCATGTTTTGTGCTGACCAACGTTTGTGTATGGATCCCCCCGCCAGTTTTGGGTGAAGTCAAGCTTCGACATCACTGGATACTTCTTGGGTTTCTTTTTTGGGGAGGAAGTGAGGTTCCCCCTTTACGGTTGGTGAAGTAGAAGACCAAGGGGAGAGGGTCAGCGGTCTCCTTTTAAGATGCCCTGAGTGGCGAAAAGGTTGGTGTTTTCTCATATTCCCAAGCAGATCAACCTGGAACCCAACAAATCCATAATATATATATATATATGTATGCATATTATATGTGTATATACAGCTATACACTGTATATTAGGGAGAGAGAGGGAGATTTAGAGGAATCTCCTTTTGCGGTGGACTCCCAGTTCGCCTGCCAGGCAGCTGCGCAGAAACTGCCTCAGCCTGGTATCCCTGGAGGCGGGGGGAAAGGGCGACTTGAAGCACTTTGGAGCATGTGCTGTACATAATTAGAATGGTGTGTAGGTTAAACCCAACAGACATGAATGTTCATATGTACCCTGGCCCCTCTTTTGTTTAAGCCTCAACTTCTTGCAGACGACCAATTCGGTTTAGTGGCGGTACTCCAGCTCGGGACAGCCCCTAGTTGACTGCAGCGGATCCGTGGATTCTGCCCTTTGCTTTCGGCGAGTAAGAGCAAGTCCACCCCAGACCACACCTCAGGGATGCAGTAGCATGTGAACTCGAGAATTCATGTTTTTTGATGTTCCCCAAGCGCACACATCAATGAATTCTGGCCAGCAAATCTCGGCATGAAAGACACGTAATCATCGCAGGGCATATGGCTTCTCAAACTGGACCCCCAACAACGAGAGCCCAAACTCAAACCCATCCAAAAAGAGAACCCCTGATTTCAAAGGGGAGACCCCTAGGTTAGACTGGATTCCTGGATGGGAGTGAGGCATTTTCTTTGACTTCTTGTTTGGAATGACAAGTAAGGAAGTTGGTTTTGAATTTCATACCCTCACCTAGACCCCACTCGGGCGAGGTCGATGTTTCAATTATAGACCACTCGAATGTGCGGGACATACACTGTCTCTGTTCAACCACAAAAACCACAGGACTTTCTCCCTTGGATGGTCCGTACCCTCAAAGAACCGGATCCCAAAATGGTGGTGCCCTATTCCCAGCCAAATGTCGACCGTGAAATATCGTCGTCCTGGGTGTGAAAACGAGGCTTCGGAGCCAAGCAGCCTTTTGTTCCCTCACAACCACTGTGCAGGGGTCTGTCTTTTCCAGGTACGTACCCTTGTGACTCTCTCCCTCTCTATCTCTCTCTTTTGCGACAAGCCACCAGGAAAAACGAATTTTCCTGTGGGTTCGATCGGGTGCTTTTCATCCCCATGTTCGGTGAGAGAAGCGGGAGGGAGCAAAACACAGCGGCAAGCCGGCACTTCGAGAGGTGAATCCGGTGCACGTTTGCATCTCCCGGCGCCTCTTAGACCTGGCGCGCGTGTCCTGGGCCGAGGCGGGAGGTCGATTGACACGACTCGTGGATGTTCCAGTGACTCCAGTGCCAGCTCTTCCATTCGCTGAAATAAAAACATGCTTATGATTTCCCTTGGTTTGAAGGGAAATCGATGTCATGACTGGCTCGTTTTTCCTTTGGTTGCTTCAGCAAATGGAAGAGTTGTGTGTTTCTTGTTTGTGTGGGGATACCAAAAAAAGACAGAAGGAAACTGATTTTAGGCAATGCCCAAAACGAAGTTGATCTGGTTTCTCGGGTAGGTTGAGCGTAATCCGAGCCCCCTTCGAAATGGACACACAATTCCCCTTGTTATAGGGGCCAAGTTTCCTTGGGTGAGCGAATGCTTGAGGCGGAACAGAGTCACCCCTGTCATGTTCGGTCACCCACCAAAGGTACACATGTCAGCGGTTTGGGAAAATTCAGCCTCTCCGACACATGCTAGCTTGATGACGCTGAAGGAGACGGGCATGAGCCCTTCACATGGAGCTACCTGAATGGCGGCCCCCCTGTCCCAAGTTGTTTGTCAAGAATACTACAGTTTCCGAGCACGGCCTCACATCCGGCTCTCGTAAAATCGTGGGAAGTCCGGTTTAAGGCCAGGTGCACCAACGGAATCACAACCCAGGGATGGCCCACTTTGGCACAGGGCTATCTCCTGCCATGGAACACGTCTCTGCGCCAGGTGAAGCCTGGCCAAGCAAAGGACGGATCCGTGAGCCTCAGGTCTCGAACTGCAATTTCCAGGTTTCGCCATGGGAGGAGTTTTGGGGTTGGATCTCAAGCTGGGGCCAGTGACCAGGGCGAGACTTTGACAGGCAAATCCTGGGCCGAGCTGCACTCGCAGAGTGCAAGGAGCTAAAGCTCCAGGAAGGTCCTTGGACCATTCATTCCCTTTCCGGCTTGGGAAAAAGGGAATAGTAATTTGCGGCGAAGCAGAAGGGCTTGTGTCTTGTTTCCCATATTGACGCGAGCCAAGTTTGGATGGGTCACCGGGAGTCACGAGGCATGCGTTTGGACACCGAGATGGGAGTTCGGCCGTTCCTCTCCATGCCTCCCAGACCTCTGGGGTATTTGCTTTGGGGGAGAAGGATCCCTATGGCCAAAGATCTGGGAAGTGATGTACGGTTGGCCCTGTTGCCTGCAGGGCACTTCAGAACTCTCTCAAATACTCAACTGGATTGTCAATGACAAGCGTTCCCCAAGGGCGAAATTCTCAAGGTAACTTCCCAGTTCCTTCAAGAACAGGGGCCCGTATAGTTCCCCTGCAAACATCACTTGTGGGGGGAGGGGGGGTTCCACCCCCACCAAAGGAAACATGGGGCAAACAACCACGATATCCCAGACCTCCAGTTGGCTGGTGGGCCCGCCTTTCTTTCCCCCCACAGGTCCTTAACCGCCAAAGGGCGCCATCCCCATCCCAGTGTCGGGGTACCAGGACCTTGTGCCCCAACTCATGGAAGAACTGGGCGAGCGCTGTGCAGGCGCTCTGAATCATGGGTTGGAGATGGGGGGTTCTGGGTATGGAGAATCGGGGGGTGTTGGGCTTGTTGTTTTTCCGATAGGAATGGCACCCACTGAAGTGAGAAAGTAGTCCGGGATGGCCCACGTGGGTATTTGCAAGGGGTTTACTGGTTAATTCTAGGTGCCAGAACTTTGGCCGCCGCTTGGACCATATGAACCTGAAAAGTTGTTCTGTTGGTCCTTTTACTGCTTGGAATCAGCCAAAAAGGGTCCATCCTCGAGCCTTGGCCGAGCCTTGGGTGGAACGTGTTTTTTGTTATTTCCTCCGGGGTACTGTTTTTTTTCTCGGGGTACCACAAAATATTTGTGGTTTTAAAGGGAAACCAACAGGAACACCCAGCATTTTAGGTGTGAGATGAAAAAGACACCCATTTCAGTGGCAAAAGTTTGGGCAGTGGCCAGCCAAACATTTGGACAGGTTGCTCCAGTTAAACGCAGTGACGGAAACCTTCCACTTCAGAATGCTATGGACAAGAGTGGCAACCAGGGTAAGAACTTAATAGCTATTTATGAGTTCCCACAAGGGAAGTGTGCCCTTCGTTTTCGCCCTAGTTTACTACACCTTCTTGAGCACTGGAAAGCGGAGCAAGTATGGGCTCGTGGTAGTTTTGCTCCTGTTGTTTGGTGCATGAACCTGCAATTGGTGGTGCGGCCTTGGTCACTGTGCTGCCACCTTGTTTGCTGTGCAATGCGCTTGCACTGCTGCTTCTCCACGGAGAAGGTTTCAGACATGCGGTTGTTCTTCAGACTTTCAAGTAAGCCAACCACATCCCCATCGACCATCAAGTTTTGTGAAATTCCAAGCACGCAATAAATTGATAAGGTCACAATTCGGCCACTTGCCAAGTTTGAGTGACTCAACCGTGTGTGAGAAAGGCGCAGATGCGCTTGTGCGTCTCATAGCGATCTCGCGAGGGTGTAGAGTGACCTGTTGCACATCCTCATGTCCTTCAAGTTGGTTCCACCTGTCTCTTGGCTGCCTTTTGGTTGTGTTCCAATGGCTTGTTTCCTTTTGTTCTGGTTCCAGTCAGGCATGTCCTCAAAGACCTACCGCGAGTGTGGCCACTGGCGAGGCTCATGCCCTGGGTCTTTGGCTTTTCTTGGTGGGTTCCGCTTGAAGAGCATGAGCCCTTTTGGGGGGCTCGTTAGTCAAACCCCGGGCAAGTGAAGGAGAGCGGCCCATTGATGACAGGCTTCATCGCCAGACTTAGCCAACCCTTTCATCTTCTTCCCCTGTTCCTTCAATTTCCTCTGACCCGCAGACATCTTTGCCTTTTTGATCTTGCATTGTTCCTCACCAGCACAAAGTTTGAACTTGCCGTTCTTGCTGGTTCCTTGGTTTTAAGGAGCCAATTCGAGAGCTTCCAATCGATCGATCCTATCGACTCGAAGCCCAGGGCTCATCTTTATGGACCATCGGGGCACCATCTTCCACCAGGACACGAATCGACCGACCGTCATGGGCAGTCCATGCCGGGTATGTCTCAACCAAGTACAATGGATCTGAAGCCCCAGTGTAGTCCATGCCAGTTCCAGGCGTCCATGCGAATCCTCCATTTAGCCAAAGTCAGTTTGGTCAAAGCTTTGGGGACCAAATGAGCTTCGCTGGACTCGGTTGGAGTCTTGGTTTTTGACTTCCACGTGCCAGGTCTCTTTCTGTTTGGAAAAGCCTGTGCACTTGCATGGTGGGAGGGTAGCACTTTTGTATTTCTGGTTCTAGGAAAGGAAGCTTTGTGCTGTTTGTTGCAAGATTTCATCCTTGATTTGTCTTCTGGTGTACAACAAAAAACCAACCCAAAGATTCGTTTTCTGCTGTTTTGCAGCTGTTGGACAAAAGCGAGCAGCTGTCCCTCCAGTTGCTCGAGTGCCTTGCGGAAGTGCTTACGTGAGTACCATGATGGCTTGCCATATGGCCCATGCCATATGGCCCACCCCTTTTTTTGATGCACAGACATACGTCACATGTGTGCCGCAAAGTCAGATCCCGCAGTTGCCGGTTCTATGGAAACTCCGTGAGTCCCAACTATATGAGCCGATACGAGTGGGGATCTCATCTCGATCAAGTTACAGACGCGTGCGCTCAGGGGATTGCTTCTAGTTTGTAAAGCCTGAGCAAAAAGCACATTTGCGATTTGTCACGGCACAGAACATACCGCCTCCAAGCACATGCAATAAGCCCTGCTTCACACAGATGTTTGTCCACAAAGGGGTATCCCCCCACAATCAGGCAAACCCAAGGCGCGTTATAGAACTGAGCAGCCACAAGCAAAGGGGTGATCCAACATGGGCAAAGTTTGGAAACGCCTGAAGAGCACCCGCCAGGTTTCAAGGGAAAATTCTCGCAAAGAACATGTATCGCAGGAACCACATCGGGTCCCGGTGCGGACGAGATCCACAGATTGCAAACGCAAACCTGGTTTTACCGGGGGTTGTCGGGTTAGCGGGCAAAGTGAATTGCTCATATGGGCGAGTCTTTTGGAAGGCCAAAGGTTTTTTTCAAGTTGCAAGGGCGCGAAGTGAAAACCCACCAAATGCTTGTCTCAAAAATAGAACCGGGTGATTTCCTGTTGGTTTCCCTTGAAGACTTGGCCACTTGCCAGACTCAATCTGTCAGGACTTGGCGCTGCTTGTGCGGAGCAGAGCATTGGCTGGGCAGGTGGGGAGGTTCAGCTACAATTTGTCATTTGTTCTCCTCGTCCAAGGAAAGACCGAGTGGATGATGGCAGCCAAGTTTGGAAAGCGGCCCTTTGCTCCGCTGGGGAAGCCTTGCAAACTCACATGGAGGAGGTGGCTAGCCAGTTTAGGTAAGGCTTGGTCAACAAGGGAAAGAGAAAAGGCTTCAGGATCCAAAATAAGTCTACCTCATTCAACCCTCAGGTAGAGGTAATATAAGGGGCAAGACAGTTACATGATTGTCCCATGATCAGTGATCATGAGGGAATTTGGTTTTATAGTGTTCCACAACCCCCTTCTAGTTATATGGGCCCTACTGGATCCGTGAAAGTGGCATCCTCAAATTTGCCTTCAAAGCTCTAATGCCAGGAAATTCTCAGAATCAAAATTGTTACCAGGCACGCCTCATTGCCGACAACACGCTGAACCCCGGCGCGCCGCTCTTTCTGTGGGCACCGCGCCCGGTTTTCGGAGGGGGGCCCCTTTAACATCAACAGCCAAAAAACGGTGTGCCCGTTTTTCCTGCTCGATACTGTGCCATTGTTGCACGAGGTCTCTGCGGCTACCAGTTTGTTATGCAGACTAACGCAGCTTTGACAAGCCTGCACATTTCTTTCAAAAGCACGTTCAGTCCGAACGTGGGTTTACCCCCTGCGCATCCCCAGACAAGCGCGTCCTTCTCAAACCAACAATAGGCTGAATGAACAAGCAATGGCGTCAGTCGCTACGCTTGGGGTTTATGACCTCCAAGTTACCCCCTTGGACCCATGCCTATGTGTCACATGGAGCCACAAAAGATGGCTCCCAGCCCATACATCCCCTTTAACTCGGTTTACCTTTGTTCCCTATTGACACTTACATGGCAGGAAACTCAATGTATTCAACCTTGGAGAAATTAGCACATTATCCATCTCCAAGGGATCACGAGAGGGCTGTGTTTTGCCACTTTTTGTCGAGACCCCAAGCTCCGCAACGCCAAGCCCAGCTTGAAATTGCGACCTGAAACTCCCGCGCGCCTTCCCCCCATGCAACTGCAGAATTCTCCCAGGAACGCGGGCTGAAGCAAGGCTAAGTATGTGGCATGTGTTTTAGACATGTTCTTTTCATTCGAAAGCAAACGCAAAGTACATTGAGTGATTCCGCTCTTTTGTTTACTGACTGACTGGACCGGTACCAGCACAAAGAGCATTTATTTCAACAAAGCATGAACGGAATCCATGAGAAATCGACAAATGTTGATCTCGCAGAAAAAATAGAATTTGACACTAAATTAAGTTATGTTACGAGCGTCTACTATCCTCAGACAGGCCCCCTACTAGTAAGAGCTCGGGTCATTTGACTTGGAACCATAGTTTCTACACTTTTTTCAAAGCTCTACAATCACTTGGAGTCACCGTTTGGGGGGCTTTTGATTCGTTTGTCATCTAGACTGTTCGATCTGACGCTTGTGCGTATGAATTAACGTCACGTTTCATAATACACAACATGACCTCAAGAGTGAAACATGCATTTGATTAAGAAGTCTTTGTGGTTGCAAGTGAGTTAGATTATGACATGTGACTCATTCGAGTCGTGCAGAAATCCGAGGCCACAGAGCTTCCCGAATTTGAACTTCAAGTCATAGCGATCAAGGCTCCTGAACCATCTTTTGAGTTGCTTCAGCTTTAAGCCGCAAAATGGGTCAACAAAACTCGAGCGAGCCAGAAGCTTCACCAGTTTGATTCTGTCCTTTTAAAGTTGTGCCGTACGAAAAGACCTACGACAGGAGCGCTTCCACTCGCACTGCGTCACCCAAAGCTGGGCGCTGCAGGAGTCGCAGCCTGAGGAATGGGCCAGAAAAATCCTTTGCGGCCGCTAGGTCCCCCAGTAGCCCCAGTAGTGCCCTCTGCCCCTTTTTTGGGGGAGGGTTCCCCCACTAAAATAGGCTACAGAAAGGAGGACCTAGGGGTCTCCTGCAAGACCGGGGTTTCTCAATCAGTCTTCCATTCGCTTGCTGTTTGGTTTCAAATGGAACCTATCTCCACTGGTTTTCACGTTTTTCAGGGCGCTCAAGCAAATGGAGCTGGTGTATGGTTGGTGTCCTTTGGGTTTCCCACGAACACCTAAGAGAACTCAAAGCATAGGAGGTCCCACGGTTTGAAGAAGGAATCTCTCTCGCAACGGATATGGAAGCCTCCAAAACAGTCAATTCCTTTTGGGTTCCCCTTCAAGACCAGCCCAAAACAGGACGACCAGCCCCAAATCCCAGGATGCCAGGGCAACCAAAAGGAGACCAGCTGCGGGCTTCGACCCTTTGGGCGGGATCCTCCATGCTTGGGATCCACTGGATACATGCCCCAGCAATCGCAAAGTAGATAGGCGGCCTTTTCAACAGGGCTGTCGTCTTTTTTCAGCTGATCGCCTTCCATGATTGAGGCGAATTGCGTTTGGAGCCGACGTGTTGCCGGACGGCCGAAAAGGGACACCTCGGCATGGCTCGCTTTGGGCCCGATTTCGGTTGCGACTCTCAGGTTTCTGGCGCACCACGAGGATTGGACCACGACCTCGGCGTGGGGCTCAGTCAAATCGCCTGCACGACCTGTGCGATTCCGTTTCTCCATTTGGGTCCCTTCCAAGTCAACCCAAGAAGCTGCCGTTCCATTCATTCTTTTCCCAAAAATCCACTATGGAGGTTTGGGCCTATTCCTGTGCATAGGCACGTTGGGTCCCTGGCCTGGAGGATGAGGCCTGAACACCTAAGCATCTTGTGCCAAAAGTCCACCGGTTTCGGGTGAAGCTGACGGATATACTAACCCACTTTGGGCCCGGGTCCTTCGGTGACGAGAGACTCTCGGTCGCTAAGCTTCAACCCATCCCAGAGTCTTTTCAAGAAGCTATTCATGTTCATTCCTGGTGTGGGGTCATCCATTTAGGGGTCAAAGGACGCAGAACAGGGCAAGTCACTTTCGCTCCAACGTACTGGCGCTTGGGCTGAACCTCACCAGCAAGCCGCAAGGCTAGAAACTTGATGTTGGGTCACCCACCGCCTCTTTTGCGTCCTGGTGTTTTCCTTTTTCGTCCAAACATCTACCTACAGTTTTTGGAGCACCCCTGAAGAGAGAGCCTTGGGGATGACACAAGTTTGCCCCGTGACGCGAGTGGTCCCTGTATGCTTTGGAAAGCTTGGAGTCAGTAGGGTCCGCAAGTGTTCGAGACAACGTGGTTGCTTCAGGATAGATCCTTGAAAGTGTTTCTCGGTTTCTTCTTAGTGAATTTGCCTTGAGGCGACTGCTGGGTACAAATACATCAATTTGCTCAACAATGGGTTGTTGATGTTCTTTTCAGACCACCTCCCTTGGCACCCATGCGAAACGGCTGGGTTTACAGAACACAGAATGTGGAATCATAGAATGGTAAGCATTCGGCTGTGCTTCACCTAAAATGAGTACCTCCACCACAGGTACCAACTCCAAGAAAAGAAAAGAGACCCCCGCCTCATTTCCTTTTGGCACCCCACTGCGAATTCAATCCGCTGCCCCTAGGATTGGACCTGATGCCTGCCTCGCGCGCAAGAAAAAATTGCCGGAGCGGATGCGGGGGTTTCACTGGAACTTTGCACCCCGAGTGACCATGACCCGTTTTTTGGAGGTCCATTTTAGTGGTTGTCGGGTTGGTCTAAAAGCCCATTTTCTGCTGGTCGGGGGTGCAAGCCCAGACACGCTCTCAACTCTAAGTCAGCGAACTTGGTCCCTTGCCTAGTTTCCTAGCTGGATTCTGGGCTCACGATAAAGTGGATGTGGTCACTGGTTCTTCTGTTCGGGTAGCTGGCCAACTGGGGATTGTTTGAGAAAACCATAAACCTTGACACAATCTTGGTTGAAGAATGTCAACGGGCTTGCTACTCAAGTGAGTTCTCCTTGGGCAGGACCTTATCAAGCAAGGCATGGTAAGACTGGGCTGGTCAGTAGTTTTGTCCTAGCTGAAGTGTGTTTACAGACTAGTGGAATTGGCTTTTCGGTCTGGTCAATGCTGCCTGTGCCACTGCATTCAATGCAAACTGTTCGTTCAAGGTAGCCCCTCGGGTTGCTCCGAGCTTGTAGGGCCCGAACGAGTGGAATAGGAGCAACATGTTGGATATCGCAACTCCCAGTTGTCCTATCGGGTTCCGCTCAGTGGGTTCCATTCTTGTCTTATCATTTTTTGGCTGGGTTTCCTCCAAATTCCCCCCCTCCCCGCCCCTCCCGGCACAAAGCTGCGTGTGAGACCTCCACAAAATTCCAAACAAACCCCTGATTGCCTTATGAGGGCAAAATCCTGCACTCTTGGGCAGCCCCCTTCAAATCGGCCAGGTTTGTGAATCCGAAGCATGCAAGTTCGCATGAGAGAGGCTCCAAACATCCAATTAGCAGGGATGCGGACGAAGCGAATCAGGATGTGGGGGTGTCCTTCTTTGATGGTACCCCATTTTGGTCTGGTTTAAAGGAAAGCCAAAGGCAATACCACCTTTCTTTGAGGTGGGGATCCCTGAACGACACTCTGTTTTTTTCTTGTCCAGCACCACGCAGATTTCTCTGCGTCTGCCCCAAAGTCCGTGCTCCCAACCCACCTTCCCGCGAGTGTCTTGTTGTTCCCTCAAGAATGCACAGGAGAAGTTGATCGGATTGGTTCTCTTCACTTTGACCGAAATCACCGTTTTGAGATTCCGGTTAGAATGATTATTGTCCAACAAAATGTTACCCTTGTGGCAAAGAGTACTCTAGTTTGGTTTTTCTTGATCGGCCAAATCGACTGGTACTTCAAGTTTGTTTGGATTGATTGAGCATTTTTTACGTAAAGTTGTGTCCACCTCGCACAATTTCTGCACCTATCCGCTCATGGCTTGCGCAGGCATTGCAACATCAAGCCCACGTGGCCTTGAAATTTGCCCATGCCAGGCTGGTAAGTGGTGTCCTTCGCAACCCTTTTCTTTAGAAGGCCAGAAGCAGATTGAGGTAGCCAAATGCAGATGTGGGTGGGGTTCAGAGCTTTGGGGGGAAGAACTGGTGTCCGCCATGTCGCTCAAAAGATGAGGCACGCGGTTCCTGCTGGGCATAAGAGGGGTTGACAAAGTCCAAGGCATAGGTGCTGGGTACCCTTTGGGTCAGCTTGGTTTAGCATTCCTGGATTCCACTCAGTGGCATCAGTGACTGATGTCAGCTTGTTTCTGATCATGCACCAGTACATTGGCTTGCATGTTCCGCAGGCCCGATGGTGAACTCAGCGCACTGGCTTCGCATGAACGGATGCAGAATCCTGAGCAGCTTCAGAAGCAGGCAGCATCATGTTTGGGGATGTTTAGTTTTATCTTGCAGCGTTTCAATGAGGAGCCAAGGGAATCCCCATGATAATCCCCTCTTGGGATTGGTCTTGGCATCGCAAGCATGATTCATTCGCGTGCGGCCGCTCACAAGCAAGAGTGAACAGATGAGCTGAAGGAGAGAGGTTTCATCAAAACGAAGCCTGCCCCCACTCCCGATGTCTCTCACGCCTGATTACAAGGGTCCTCACATTTCCCGGGGTGATTTGAACCTTACCTCTTGGGCCATCTGGCCACATCCAAAGCGGAGCCACCGGCATTGCCTCACCCCTCGCGCTTGGGATGGTCAACCCCTAGGGAATTTCGAGAACCATGGGTCACCTTGCTACGCCTTGTCTTTGGTGTGACTTCCTTTTGGAAACAAATGGCCTTTCCAATAAACCTACAAAAGGTGATTCACCTTTTGCTCAGGCAAGAGCAATTTAAATTATGGCGAACCAAATTATGGTTAGTCATTTGCAGTCACAGAATGGAACCAGACCCATTTCGGAGCTTCTCAAAATGCTGTGCCCCTTTTGTTTTTCAATTACAGGGAAACCTAAAGAAAAACCATTGTAGCAGCCCCTATTTTTGAGAAACACAGGCAGCAATTCTAATATGGCGAATCCAATGTGTTGGACCGTGTTCACGTTTAACACTTGTTGATGTCATTGAGTGTTTTTCAGCTTATTCAATCTATACCCTTCCCACATTCGTGTCAAAACCCCCCGAGCGACCTTCCAGAGAGTCTCCATCTTCTGACCCCAGACATGTGCCCTATTTCTCCCTTCAAGGGATTCCCCTTTCAATCAAAGGGCGGAGGCTTGTTTCGCCACTCGCCAGGCGATGTCGTGTGGAGAAGGACTGGGCGACTATTGGAAAGAGGGAATTCCATTGCCAGCGGCCGTGTTGGGTTCCTTTTAGACCCCTGTTTTTCGTTGGGATAGCGAGGGCTTCAGTTTGCCAATGTCATTCTCCGGCGCAAGTTGCGAAGGGCCCGGATCAACGCAGAGGCCAATGTTTTCGAGACCACTGAATCAAAACATCATGCTGTCAGCTGTGTTGAACACAAGAGCGATTCACAGTGGATGCTGCAGAAATGCACGGCATGCAAAAGAGTCAGTGGTTTGGGGATGGTCACTCGGTTAGATTGGTGGGAACTGATAACTTCACCCTTTGGCTGTGGGCTAGGCAGAAGCACAAGGCTGAGCTATGGCAACTCTTTCGGGAGCTTGCTGCCAATTGAAACTTAGACTTACTTATGCCCTCCTGTGCATATGGAGGTGGTTTGAGATGTCACCCATTTGCACTGCCCATGATGGGCATACAGGTTTCTGCGCGTAGCAAGAGAGTATGGCCACACCCCAGGCGTGGCTTGTGGTCGCAGTTTCTGCAACCACAGCCATCTTTGCTTCCGACAACCCCATGGAAGTTAAGGTGTTCCGTTGTTTTGTCTCGCGCGTGTTCCAGTTGGTTCCCCGCAACGCTATCTTCAAACGCCCAGTTGCACGAACCTTGCTTTGGTCCATGTTTGCTTCAAGGTCCCAGATTGTTTGTGCGGCTGACAATCTGGCCAGCGAGGGAAAAGAACCTAGACTTCACTGTTCTTGGCAAGTTGTTTGTTTTTGGGGTTTGTTGGTTCTGTTCATGTTTAGGTTTGGGGGCTGCAAAAAGCCATACATCTTTTTGCGAGCCGATCCCGTTTGGGTTTTGAAGTATCTGCGGCGCTTACAGTCAAGCCATTGGTCGTGTGCACATCAGGTCTGCGGCGCTTGCAGTCCTACACCAGCCAGGCGGCGGCCCAGGCAGGGAATTGGGTGGGTGTTGGTGTCTCTTTTCTTGGTGGGTACCCTTTGCTGGTTGGTTTTAGAGGGTTTTTTGGGAGAAGCCACCATTTTAGGGGGGTTCCCAAAAACATACCACTTTCTGAAGACATCCCCTTCAAAGTGATAAAGTAGTCATACGAACAGCCCGTGCTGATATCGCAGAATTCGGGCGATGTTCCGTGGAATCGAACCCAAGGGCCCTGTTTTCGGGAAATCGCTTTACCTCTGGACAGGTTCTTGGAGGTTCCAATCCTCCCGCTTTGGAGTCTCCTTGTTTCGCGTTTTTCGTTTGGGTTGTTCTGGAAAGCCGAGAGGAAGAAGTTGGAGAGGACTCGGTGAGGTTCCCCATGTGCAGCTCCCCGGCTGCTCACACTTTGGCGGTTCCAATGCGAAGAACAAAAAGTTAAGGGTCAACAGCATCCAAGAGCTTAAGGAGCTTCAACCTAGCGAAGCGAGGTGAAGTCGCTGCTGGACAGCAACAACTTGCCCACCGATTTGCAGCTGCACAGCTACATGCGCGAACTGGTGAAGGCGCTGCCCTCGTGGCATGAGGGTTTCTCAAGCGAACTGTTGCGGAAGAACCATGTAATTGATATGTTTGAGGATCTCACTTTGAGAGAGCCCAGTTGCCTTATACTTACCTAGTGTCCACAGTGGCCTGGCCAGAAAGCAATGTGAGTGGTGGAAACCTGGGATTCATCTACGGTTCGACTTTTTTGAGGGGGGTGTCCCATTTTAACAGTTTCGCGTTTATAAAGGTCGCGCGCGCCACTTTGCGGCTGAAAGTTCGCTACTCGAGCTGCAGCTGCGAAAGTATGCTTCGCGCGCTACGTTTGTGCTGACAAATTGCGATGTTCAAGCCCCAGATGGATCAGCGTGCTTGCCTTTCTTTTGTTACGACGTTTGAGCTGGAGCCTCTCTCAGCAAATTCGCACGGCGCCACAGCGAGAGCGCTTCGACGCACGATCTCCGCAGAGGCGCAGCGCTTTCGCAAGGTAGATAAATAAACAGATGGATAGATAGATAGATAGATAGATAGATAGCTAAGACCGATAAGACAGAAAGAGATAAATGGATACATAGATAGATCGATTGAAAGAGTGACATAGACGATAGAAAGGTGTGTAGATAGATAGGACAGGTAGACAAGAAGCTAAATAGGCAGATCAGAAAGATAGCCAGATAGATAGATCGATCGGATAGATTAGACAGATAGGTGGATGCATGGATAGATCTTACCTTTGCTTTGAAGCTTCCGCCCACCCGCTTCGCCAGTGTTTTGGTATACACACACATTTTCCAATGTACATGTTCATGTACATATGTGTATGTTGATATATATATATATATATACAAATATGTGTTATTTGTTTGCCGTGTGTGTGTGTGTTTTGCCTCACCGAGAGGCC